ATGGACTTTCTCTCACAAACGTGAACCGTTCACTGGTAGGTTCAACCCGTGTACCTGGGAGGGCGTATACAGGCACGCACAGATACCCAAGTTGTGGGGATAACCACATTCAACTGCCTATTGTTCTTCTCGAAGGACTTAGGGAGCGATGGTAGATGACGAAAGCAAATCGATGGACGAACAGACAGACAGAACGCGCGAAATGTGATAGATAAATATGTGGTAAGATAGACATCTCGATGGGGGACGTTTTTAAAATGGACAGAACGATTTATTCATGATCTTGTTTTCAGGACAGCCAACTGTGACGTCACTCCTCTGAGCTAACGTATGTGTGTGTATGGGTGTGTCTGTATATGTGCGTCTGTGTTTGCAAGGTCATTGCATTAAAGTGCACGAACGGGAATTATGGGCAGCATTAGTGCGCCAACAACAATTTTGGAGGAACACTTTGGTGTGTAAATATCTCGGCTAAGCGAATCATAAGCGCACGCCTACGGGACATGTAAAACTTGGTTCAAATGAGATGTGATTCCTTTGTTCATCGAGGTTTGTACGCGGGTGTGTGTGTGTGTGTGTGTGTGCTTATGCGTGTCGAGTGTGCTAGACATCGTCACGGATTGCCCTCTCACTCATCCACCCCTGTCGTCGTCTATCCACCCATTCCTCAAGACAATGTGACCGTACTGATATTCGTTTCGGGACACGTCAAACACTATAGTCCAACATGTAGTTCACGCACCCCTCCCCCCCTATCCACTCGTACTTCTTCCGATAGGTGTGCATAGTTATGAGGACAACCCAAGTATGTGTCTGTTAAGCGTTCTATCGATTTATGACCCCCGAAATTAAAGGTTATTCGATGCGCATGAGCTGTGCAAATATTTCAGTGCACGCAACACAAACTGAACCAGTAATGAGGGAACTTTAACTGGTGCACAAGTGAGGGACGACAGATCAAGAGGAACCCTTTGTTTCGCAAAACATCGGATACAACCCGGTTAGGATAAAGAATAAACTAATTTCTTGCGTCTTCTCTCTTCCGAAACAGAGTTGGTTGGGAACTCATAAAAATAAAAGATGAGGTCAATCTGGTCGAACTTGTTAATAAATCACGATTACTGTTGCCCGGTTGATCAGTGGTCCCTAATTTAGATTGTGTGACGTCATCACAGTAAGCAGATAGTTTTACTAATCACGAGCTTATACACCAATAAGTGACCAATCGCATTCCACCGCCTTTCTAGCTGTCACTTCTTTCTGACGTATCTGAATTCAAACTAGACTTTGATGAGCCACATCAAACGGTCAAACACCCAAACAACATTCGAAGAGAACAAACGAGAAACACTGTACTGGCCTTTCCATTTGACAATGGACAGAAAGTGTTTGTACTACAGTGGGAAATCAATGAATTACCAAGGAGTGAGACCAACTTCAGCAAAAACCAAATTATAACAATACAGGCACCACGCGATGAAACCAAGAACGTTTGAGTAATTCTGGTCGCTTTATACAGTCACAGTGGCTAAGTGATTGGAGAAAGGTTCAATCTGCAAACTCCCTTCAGTTGAATTGACACAACCCAGAGATTGCAGAACAAAACTTCCTCACCATTCACCGCATATCCACTCGTGTTACCAAGATCACTGCTATTCTTTCTTCTGTCATAGCCATCGGAATCGTAGTGTTGGAGTCCACTGACGTAACCTGTAGCATATCGTCATCACGCTTCGCAAGAGATCACTTGATACTTAAACACCAGACGTTAAACTAACCCAGGCACCACAGTCTGAAAAATAGAACACTTTCGCTAAGAGGGTTCTTAACCTCATCATCAGTTATCAAAAAGCTATATTTGCAAACCTCTTTCATTCTTGAAACTGTGGTTGCTACCAACGTATGCCCATCGCACTGATAATCTTCAACAGCCTGCGACCTTGTGATGAATTTGCATCAAGTGGTTTTGGTGTACACATATTCAACGATACTAACTAAACTGCGTTAAAAAGCTACGCGGATCATATTTTCTAATCTCAAGTACTGAAATTGTCTCGTGCAATAAACAGTCGGCTTCTCTAACTTGCTTTGCTCATCACTGTATACCCGCAGATGGAGTAGCGACTTGCGGTTTCTTATTAAGTATTTTGGTCATACAGTTTACAACAATGGTGCTATACTGCCAATCTTTGAAAACCAAACCTCTGTAGGGTAATTGATAAAGTTATAGTTACTGGCAACTGCAGGTGCTCCTCTGATAATTGTCCCTACTTCTCCTGTGTTCCGTACTTCAATTTACTGCAATGAAACATTAATCCACTCAATTTCTCCTCGATTCTTCGTGCCCAGGTCATTTCCATTATTTGTGTGGCTGTATGGGCGATCAATATTGGTCACTTCAACGATCCAGCTCACGGTGGTTCATGGATCAAGGGTGCTATCTACTACTTCAAAATTGCCGTGGCTCTGGCTGTGGCTGCTATTCCCGAAGGTCTGCCCGCTGTGATCACGACCTGTTTGGCCTTGGGCACACGACGTATGGCTGCCAAGAACGCGATTGTCCGTTCCCTGCCATCCGTGGAAACTTTGGGTTGTACGAGTGTGATCTGTTCGGATAAGACCGGTACACTGACCACCAACCAGATGAGCGTGTGCNCGTGTGCCGAATGTTCATATTTTCTAAGGCGGACGAACGTAGTGCGGAGGTTGCCCACTTCGAAATTACCGGATCCAAATACGCTCCTGAGGGTGAAGTGTAAGTGGTTGCCGTGGTTTGATTCCCACAGATCGGTACCGTCCTAACAATAGATGTAAAATACCGCAAGAGTTTGGGTAGAGTTAGACCTGGTTTGCTGTTATGTGCTGTTCACCTACAGGTATTGACCAAACTCGTGAAACATCCTGATTTTCATCACATTTGTCCCTCTCAATGATTCATTTTTCCATCCTCATTCACGGGATTGGATATCATATTGCCCCACAACAGACGCAACATATCTGATATAACACCCACTCATGCCAGTGCGTCCATTAGCTACATACCATTAAAATTTACAATTTCGCAATTTTAACGACGGTTACTGATACAGCAGTTGTAAGATAACAAAGTCATAGTAGAAAAAGGTAACTGTACTTCATTTAATAAAATAACCCATAGACTTTATGCAGGTATTGTACTTTCATTTCATACATGGTCCATTAGCTCTTCTTCATTTTTGAGCTTTAGAGGCGGTCGCTTAAGCATGGAATCCATCAAGTTGACTGCCAAACAGAATTTGCAAGTTTCCCCTAATACACCACACACCCTTACAACTGGTGACCCATGGCAAGGTAGCGAACTTATCTCTGTTTCTGATAGAGATAAAAGTTTTGGTTTAAATGAAAATCCCAGCTGCTGCGCGGTAATAGAACGAATTTGACATTGAACTTGACCCCTCTAGAAACTGTATAAATAAGAAAAAATAATATTTATTTAGGTTCAACCTTTTTCTACCACCAACCTAAGGCGAGCTGATATATCAACCTTCATTTGTACAATATATGACTATCGCGAATGCATTTTGGGAGTGACAGTTATCAAAAAGCCTCCCTTATCAGTGCAAGAAATTTTGCTATGTCCATATTGGCGTATGCAGGAGACCGATAACAATGCGCTCAATGATCCCTTCCCTACCAACTAGTTAGGTCGGATAGATATTTACTTCTTTTGACAGGCAAAAAAATTCATTAGAAAACTAGCTCAGTAGTTCAGCTTTCACAATATGCTGAATAATTCGTTGACCACCAGTGAGATAACCCCTTGTCAATTGGGCGGGAGACGCGATTTGAATTTGTTGGTAAAATCAATATGTACTGGGCTTTGTTGCGCGTTCAATACCGGCTTTACATCGCGTGGCATCAGCTGCATTTCAAATGGAGCCATCATTTTCCAAACGAAAGCGTGGGTAAAAATGGTTAATCGGCCCGCACTATCCTCCAGACTGGCTTTGTGCAACTCTTCTNNNGATCAACCATCATCTTACTTTGATATGGCTGGTTTTCTCCCTCTCGGCTTATGTCTTGATGGAGAATTTTCGTTGAATATGCAACAAAATGGACTTATGTTCAAATCGGAGCGCTTCCACAAGACACCAACTGAGCCATCGGATTTACGCTCCTCTCGTTTAAGTTGCCATTCGGCTTCAATTATATGCCAAAACTTTTTGAAAGTTTCATCCAGTGTGAGCACGGTGACACTATAGGACGCTTATTCAACGAGCCGCACACCTAAAGGTCAACTTTCTAAGATCNTTGTGTGTTTCTTGGACTATTTTTTCATTTCTCCCAGTGTTGTAGATTAGGCGTGCGTAGTTTGTGGCCAAATGATTTATCAATTTGTTTGAGTTAGAATATTTTCATTATTTGCTCATTTACTGAGCACTGAATGAAAAGAGAATAGAAATTAGAATACGTGTGCTCAACTTGATAAACACTCTCATGGAACAGGAATAATCTTTTAAGAAGAATGAACTCCCACGCTGCTTTGCTTAACATATTTTCCAAATAACAGCTATACCTTTCGAAGTACTGCAAGTTTTATAGCGACACTCAAGGTCACGCAAATTCAAACGGTGACAGAAAAGAAGTAAGAACATAGATGTTGGAGATAAAGTCAGGAATAAATACACTACTCATAGCCATCTATATATAAGTATGATATTGCAAGCTAAAATGGATTGCCTAAATGAGGGCGATCTTGCACGAGTTTGGTCAACACCTGTATTCAGATACTTGAAAAATCTAAATGTACATGAAATGGTTTGTCCCGTAGAATTTTTCTCGCATTTCCTCCTCAGTCAACAATCCACCTGAATCACCGCGATCCCACTCCATATTGACCACACATTCCTTAGGTTCTTGAACGGTCAGCGTATTGAAGCCGGAGATCACGAGGGTCTGTTGGAGATCGCGCACATCTGTGCCATGTGCAATGACTCCGCTATCGATTACAACGAGAGCAAACACGTGTATGAAAAGGTCGGTGAGGCGACGGAGACAGCTTTGTGTTGCTTGGTTGAAAAGATGAACATCTACAAGACATCCAAAGCTGGTTTGTCCAAAAAAGATTTGAGCATGGTTTGTAATCATCAGATCCAGGTGAGTTTTATTTTGCACCGTCCGAAAAGGTAATGTGGTTGGATTAAATTCGTTCAGTTTTCATGGGTCTCAGACGTTGTTAATGGTTTTGGATGTGGGTTTAACTCCTTGGGAGCTCTCTGGTTGTCTATATGTTGAATAATGCGATGCGATTCTCGGTGATACCTGACAAAGATAGTCGGTTAGCTGTATTTTCCCCGTTGGGATTCAGTGAAACACCCCTTCTAATACTCTCCGTCGAGAGATTCCCATCAAGAAGTGAATGCGAGCTTATAAACGCCAGTGTGATACGTAAAGAACATACATATATTATACTACACTATACTATATACTATAAACTCCCAAAGAGTAGTATCGCGTGAATGTATAAAGAGTAACTGGAAATGTTTTGAACATGTGATTATCCCATAAATGAATAACCCTAGCCGTAACCTTTGATTGGGTTACAGAAAACATAATTTTATATTATAAACGGTGGCTAAGGCTTTTTTTAAATGGTACCGATGACTGTTGAACAGTTCCATAAGTTCTACAAAATAATTCCTTTCCTACCATCCTCAACAGAGTTTGTGGTCCAAAGAATTCACACTGGAGTTCTCCCGAGATCGTAAATCCATGTCTGTCTACGTGATCCCGAAACCGAATGCCGGGACTAAGATTCCCAATTCCGGTGGTGCCGGGGAACCTGGTCCACGAATGTTCGTGAAGGGAGCACCCGAAGGTGTACTGGATCGATGCACATTTGTCCGACTCGGTGGCAAGAAGGTCCCGATGACCCCGGTTCTTAAGGCTGAGATTACGAAAAACGTGGCCTCCTATGGAACCGGACGGGATACCCTGCGTTGTCTGGCATTGGCATGTTGTGATAATCCACCAAACAAGAATCAGATGGATTTGGAGGATGCAACCAAATTTGTGAAGTATGAGGTAAGCTTTATTACAATCACCTGAAGGCCAATGTTAAAATGTGGCTTGAAAATGATTGCAACTGAATGTAAAGTTATGTAACAATTAAAATTCAGGTAGTGAATTTCGACTAAGAATATGCTTAAGCGATCACAGGATACAACGACCCGGTCAAATAGAGTCGACCGTAAAACGTTCAATACGAGTTTTGCACCCTAAAGTTAACACGAGCAACAGAGGAACTCTACGCCCCTCGCCAGTTTGGTATATGAATACTCTGTGAGAGGTCAGGAAAGAGGGACTTAAATGAGTACTGGCTTCAGAATCGCTTTGATTACATTCAGTGGTAGAATGTAACTTGATGTAAAGCTCTCACCATGCACCTGTTTCCACCTCTCACATATTCGTTTTACTTTACCCCAAACAATGTGTAGGAAACTGAAAACCATTTTCTTTCATTCCCTTCTCTTGTTAATATCATAGCAAAATCTCACATTTATCGGTGTTGTTGGCATGCTGGACCCGCCTCGAATGGAAGTTTTAGACAGCATTATCAAGTGTCGCAAATCCGGTATCCGAGTTATCATGATTACCGGAGATAACAAGGCAACCGCGGAAGCCATCTGTCGCCGTATCGGTATCTTCGGTGAGGATGAGCCGACAACTGGCAAATCGTTCACCGGTCGTGAATTTGATGCGTTGCCGATTGAAGAACAACGTGAGGCTTGTCG